TTAATATTTTAAAAAATAAATCCAAAAATACTATTCCAGACACTGTTTGTTTCTTCCAAACTTGTTCTCTAATCCAAAAATATTTTTTAATATTTTAAAAGGAAGGACAATAAAGTCATTTACTATAAATAAAAAAAAAGTAACACCGTTTGTTCTAATTTGATAGAAGGGGAAATTTGGAGAATGTCAGGCAAAGTAGGAGAAGTTACTATAATTATTGAAATTATAGGAAAGATTTTTGTATTTGTCAGAAACCTTAGAAAAGTCAGTGTAATTTTCCCTTTATTTATTTATGAAACCTTTTTTTATATGTAACCTGTTGAATGTTGAAAGCTTACGAAAATTATATTATTATTATTATTATTACTTTATCAATGAAAGTTGGATTTTGTGTCCAAATATTTACGGTCGTGTCACTACAAGAAAATGGGGCTTAAAAGACGGAACTATTTGCGACGGTACACTTGCCGTCGCAAAAGGTGACTTTTTGCGACGGTAAAAAATACCGTCTCAAAATTTATGAATTTTTTTTTTATCACTCGAGTGATATACATTATATAATAAAATATTTTATTTTATTTTTATTTATTTAAATTGTATATGTATTGCGTGTATTAATTCTTAGTTATTATTTATTAATATAAGAGAGCTAGAAGCGGCGTTCTCTTTTGAGAAATTTAATCAAAATCTCTCAATTTGACCCTTATTTGGTGAAAAGAACAACTTAATTTATTTTGTTTCATAAATTCCTTAAGAAAGAAACACATAATTAAGTAAGGACAAAATAATATATATATATATATATATATATTTTGGACAATATTACCAGAATTACATGTTACTGTCAAACTGAGTAATGTTACTGTGAGACAGAATAAATGTTACAGTTAAATAGAGTAGCATGCTACTGTTTATATCAATTTCGACAGTAATAATTTTTTTTTATTTAAGAATTTTATAGTCAACATGAATCTTATTTGATAGATCTTAATGAGAGGATCTTAAAAATACTAATTTTATTAAAAACTGACATCTACCTCAAAAGTTATATTATTTTAAAGTTTAATATTTTGGTAATAGTGCTATGTGTTAGACTTTTCAAAGAAATTTTTTGGGCAAATTACAAAAAAACCCTAAGATTTTGCATGTTTTTTAATTTAAACCCCATAATTTCAATTTTGACATATTAAACCCTGGATCCGTTTGATTGAACTAATAGAATCTGGGCAAAATTTTCAGATTCAAACATACATGTTTAAACACTTGTATCTCCCTCGTTGTAACTTTGTTTCGCCTTATTTTTGTGTCGTTGGGTTCACCTCATTGCCTAGTTTTCATTCCATCCCTCATATGCTTTGTTCTATCTCTTTTTGTGTGCCATTGGAACTTCAAAAGTTGGCCAAAATAAGATTTTTCTCTATTTGGGCAAAATTTTCAGATTCAAACAAATATGTTCAAGCACTTGTATCTTCTTCGTCGTAACTCTGTTTTGCTTCATTTTTACGTCGTTGGATTCACCTCATGATCTAGTTTTTGTTCCACCCCTTATAAACTTTGTTCGCTATTTTTTTGCATACTGTCGGAGCTCCGAAATTGGCCAAAAATAAGATTTTTTTTCTCTTTGGGCAAAATTTTTATATTCAAATCCACATGTTCAAGCATTTGTATATCTCTTATCATAACTCTGTTTACGCCTCATTTTTACATTGTTCGATTCACCTCATGGCATAATTTTCATTTCACCCCTTATGCTCTTTATTTCACCTCATTTTGCATGCCGTCAAAACTTCAAAAATTGGCCAAAAATAAAAATTCTCTTTTTTTTCTCCCTTCTATTTTCTATTTCCATACTTCTTCATTCCTACTTTCTTTCCACAATTATTCTTTTTCTTCCTTTTCCTTCATGGCCCTTCAACCATGCTCGTGGTGGCTATCGAACCTTTGATGGTGGCGGTGTCGTTGAGTATGAATGTATATAATTTACAAGAACGGAAAGAATCATAAGAGTGGAGGAAGGGCCATGAAGGAAAAGGAAAAGAGAGAATAATTGTGGAAAAGAATGAGGAAGGAAGAAGTATGGAGATATAAGATAGACGAGAAAAAGAAAGAAAAAGAAAGGGAAAAAAAAGAGAGAGAAATAAAGAGAGAGAGAGAGAGAAAATTTTATTTTTGGCAAACTTTTGGAGCTGCGACAACACGCAAAAAGAGGTAAAACAAGACGTATAAGGGGTGGAATGAAAACTAGGCCATGAGGTGAATCCAACGATACAAAAATGAGGCAAAACAGAATACGACGAAGGAAATACAAATGCTTGAACATGTGTGTTTGAATCTGAAAATTTTGCCCAAATTCCGTTAGCTCAATCAAATGGATATGGACAAAGATTTCACATTGAAACACGGAAGAAACTCCAGGATTTAATTTGTCAACATTGAAACTCTATGGTTTAAATTGAAAAACACGTGAAACCTTAAGGTTTTTTTTTAATTTGCCCAAAATTTTTTGTGCTTATTTTTAATATATTAAAGTTTATTATGAGGGGATTTTAACTAAATCCCCTTCTCTTTTTTATTGACAAGTAAGCAACAAGATAATGTTGAATGTTGAAGTTAAAAAGGATGTTTATGAATTTTTGGATAAGAATATTTTAGGAAATAGATTAAAAGTTGATTTTTTAGTTTTTTTTTTATAAAATATATAGAAAAGTAAAAAAGTGATATGATTCAAAAAAGTCAAAAAAATTAAAAAAAGCCAAAGTTGTCAAAATGTGCCTTATTTCGGCAAAGGGGGTCACAAAAAGTGAGAATAAAATAATTTATAAATTTCTCAAAAAATATAAATTTCTTTAAATTAACTCAAAAAATATTGTCAAGCCATATAACTTTGGTAACAAAAATGATTATTTGCAAGTTTGTTCCAAATCTAAACATTATAATACTTCGTGAATTGTGAGTTGTTTGTATTTTATAATTAAAAAATAGAATGAAAGAAGAAGAAGATAGTGATATTGGTTGAGGCCTGCAAATCGCAACATGAAATAAGGAAGGAAGGAAGGAAGGAAGGAAGGAAGGGCGTCATGTCAATCTTACTTACTAATGAGGTTCGGGACCCACACGTAAACGAAACGGAAGTTACTTTCCGAACTGTAATTTATTACTTATTATTATATAAACCTACCTTCGAAAATTACTTCCCATCTTACCATTTTTAACATTTCACCCCCAATAAAACTTACATTTTCACTTATAAAATTTCAAAAAAAAATAAAATCAATTGTGAAAAACATCTTGAAAAATATTGATATGATATACGGTCATCATGGTTAATGTAAAAATAAATGTTAGATTCATTCTATTATGTTTATCATTAATTTGTTAACATAAATGGCTGTTTTGAAAAATTGGTTGAAGGTTGATTTTTCGAATTTTTTTAATAAAATGAATTAAAAATAAAGAAGTGATATGAAACAAAATAGGTTAAAAGTCAAAATTTAATTTTTAACTATGTTCCAAAATTAGGCAAAAATTAATATGACATGTTCTACTATTTATATTCATTTTCAATATTTAAGATAGTATAAACATAGATACAAAAATATGATAAATCTATATATTATATAAGATGGTGTTATTTATATATATTATGATAAATCTATATATTATGTTAATTTTCCTTCCTTTATTTTTTTGAGATTTATTAGAAAATCATTTTTTAAGTGTTTGTATCCCAATTAGTTTATAAGATATTTTTGTATTATAAATTATTTGAACATTTGATCTACCCAATCATAATTCTCATATTTAAAAAAATTTATAGACATTTATACCCTTACAAATATTTTTTGAACGGTTAACAATTTGGTGATATAAACATTTATATTTTACAATGTGAATATTCATATTGACATGTTAACATTCATATTGACGGTGTGAATATTCATATTGATGGTGTGAACATTTACATCACAGAACATTCGCACTGTAAATGTGAATATTATTAGAGATATTTTGTTAACTATGTCACCCATAAGATTTATTGGAATATAAGAAAATAATGTAAACTAAATAAAATATACGTAGGTGAAAAGGATTTATGAAAAAATATCCATTTTTTATTTTTTTTTACTCATTACTTTAGACATATTTTTGTAGAATAAAGACAATATAAAGGGAGTGTTTGGAAAAAGAGTTGGGTTAAAATAGCTCATTAAAAGACAAAATAAGTTAAAATAGTGAATTAAATAAAATGTCATATGCAATTTATAATTATTTTACATTTTTTTTCACAATCATCAAATCAATTATAATGAAAAGCCAATTAACTTTCCGAATAAAATTATTTTAGTCTGACTAAATTAATTAACTAAAATAATTAAAAAAAATTAATTAAAATAATCAACCTCCCAAATAAGGTCAAAAGTGTTTTTATTTTTTGGAATGGCAAAAGTGTAAGTGTTTTTATGACAAAAAAAAAAAAGAAAATGTTTTTTTCCCCTAATTTTTCTCCCGAATAGCTCGAAATTTAGAAGAGAGAGAGAGAGAGGGGGAAGAGGAGGAGCTCCGCCCGTCGATCGTCGCTCGTTGTCGCCTGATCGTCGCCCGCCCTGCCTCGTTGCAGCTCGTCGTCACAGCTCGTTGTCGCAGCCCCGCCGTCGCCTCCGCCTCCACCCCGAATTTGTTGGCCCCCTCCAGTCCTTCTTCTTCCTCCTCCTCCTCCTCCTCCTTCCTTCTCTTCTTCTTCTTCCTTCTTCTGATTTTCTTCTTTTGAATTTTTTTTTTTTTAAAAAACGACATCATTTTTGAATAAGGGGGATTCGGAGGTTCAAATTTGAGCTCCCTAGTACGACTCAAAAAATAAAAAAAAGGGAAAAGGAATAGAAAAAAAAGGTATGAATACCACCGAATATATATATTTATAGGGAATGAAAGCTCTAGTTTGACTTTGGAATTCCATGTGATACGAGTGAGGAGCAACTCGTCGGATTAGAAAGGTCAGTTTTTTCCCACCCTCTCTACACTTTCCTCTGTCCATCAAAAACTAGCTCCCCAATCGGGGCCCTCTCTCTCTCTCTCTCTCAGAGTTTCGGATTCGTTCTTCATTCTTCTTACAAATCTGATTCGCATCCTCCTATAGTTTTGGTGTTGCTGAATCTGCAAGATTCTCGGAGAAAAAGGTCAGATCAGCTCAAGTCTTGTTCTATATTATTTGTCTTTGTAATTTCCAGAGTTTTTCAAAATTTCCTAATCTGTCGTTTCTTTTTGTAATGCTGTTTCTCGATTGTAATCGAAATTATTTGGACATTTTCCCATGATTTCTCCCTAATAATTGTCAATAAACACTTTGATTTTCATTCACAAGCCCTGATCTCTCAAGTACGAACTGAGCGTCTCACTCTCTATAGATTTATATCTACTTTACCCTCTCACATCGATATTGAACATTTCGATTCTAATTTTATCTATATTAGTGTCTTCCTGACCAAAAAGAGAAAGTTCTTCATATAAAAGTTTGATTTTCTTCGAAGTAAGGATTTATATTTACGATAAAAATCAAAGTAATTGGGATATATTTAGATATTTTCCTCCTCGAAAATTCACTTGTCTTCGTGTTTTGCGTGAATAACAAGGGCATAATACAAGTGTTTATCACCGCAATCTCCTTATTTTTCGTTAATAATTTTTATTTATTTATGCAGGTCTGATATTTTGTTTGTTTGTTTGGGGTATTGTCTTCCTGTGTTTTTGGTGTTTTGTGTCTTGCAGAGTGAGACGATTGGAACCGAATGGCGTGGATATAGCTGGAGGCCTCGTTTGGACAGTTGTGAATCTAGCGGTCCAAATTCCATATATTTTAGTATATATCTTCTCTAATAAGCCTTGGCGCGCTTTTGGCGGGACGTGTCGTCCACTCTCCACTTAAATCAAGGTACGTGTCCATCTCCAACTTTATATCTTGACACGTGTCCTTAGACCGCTTCATTATCCGGAAAATATATTATACATTCCAAATTTTCTATTAAATTACGGAATACACATTTGGTCATTTATGATTGTTTAGACCTGATCTATTTAGGTCAATCATCGTATTTAAATTATATTACTTTTTTATTCTATTATTTCAAATTTAATTTATATTTTACATTTTTTTCCGTAAAAAATAAAAAAATATAACACCTTCCAAATAACCCTTAAAATTTAAGCCTTGTTTGTCACAATTTAAAAAAATAAAAAAATTACTATCTTATTTAAATCACATCATCTTATTTAAGTCACAACACCTCTCTATTACATCATTTCAAACTCAATCCATACCCAATTCATATTTTATAAAAAGTCAAAAAATATACTTATTTAGATCCTTCCAAACCACCCCTATCCCTACCATTATTACCCTTAGGTCATGTTTGTTTGGGTGGACATGAGCTTGGGATTGGACTAATAATCCAATAAAATTATTAATCCGATGTTTGGTTAAACAATTGAGGTACGGACTAATTATTTTAAACTTGACTATTAGTTAAGATAGGATACATAATCCAACGAATTCGTAGTCATATGACTATTAGTCATGGGAATGCTAATCCAGTCCGCCCAAACAAACATGACCTTATTATCGAGGGCTGACATATACCTATCTATTTTTATCTGCTTTAGAAAATCAATTATTAAATAATTTGAAATTGATCAAATGATCAACTAAGGTCCATTTTAAATTTTTTTATAGTTATATCATCTCTTTATTTTTTATATATTTTTAAAAAATAAAATAAAAAAAACTCAGCTTTTAATCTGCTTTTAATTTACTTTTCAAAGCAACCCTAACATTATTTAGCTGGTACTCTGTCGATTTATTTAATTACTTTATTAAGTAAATATGTCTCACTCAAATTTATGCTCACTTTGGCCTCGAGGAGGCTTAAAAATTTAAGAATAAGATTTGAAGTATTGAGTTTGAGTTATCCATGGGAATTGTTACATATTTGTTCAGTGGTTAATTTTTTTAAAAAAATTATGTTCAGTCTTGGCTCTTAATTGGTTATGGACTGGACAATGGCAATTTTTGGTAGGGCTTATTTTCAGCTTATTTCAGTTTTTAACTTAATTTAAGCTATTTTGATGTGTTTGGTTCAGCTTAACAATATGACTTATAGCTTTTTATAACTCAAAAATCAACTTATTCTTTGAGTGGAGGAGGAGAAGCTTAATTTATAAGTAAAAAATCAGCTTATGTTCACAATTATAAGTTATAAGCGGTTAGGCCATAAGTTATAATCACTTTCCCACACAGTTCTACCAAACGGGGCCAATGGACCATTGAAGTGTTTTATTATTATATTATTTTTTAATAAGGAATAGTTGCACTCGCGTTATTGGGAAATAGTGAATAATAGTTTGATAATTGTGTTCAGTTTTTTTTTTATTACTATTAGTGGGTTAGGATTAACTTTGTTCATATCTGGGTGTATGTGCAACAAGTATATATTGTAGTATGTTTATTTTTCTCAGGTTGTGTAGGCTTCACCTTTCAAGATGGGATGTATATGTGAGAAAGAATGTATATTTATTTTTCTCAGGTTATGTAGAATTCACCATTGTAGATCCAACGTATATATGAGAAAGAATGTATACAAACAGTAATTTACTCATTACAGGTTCAGTTGAAAAGCTCCGAGGGTGGTAGCTTTAACAGTAATTAATACTGAAGTTATTTGTTGTGAGTAAGTTCATATGCTGACTTTGTCAAACACATTTACCAAAACCACATGAGGTTAGATGGTGCTTGAAAGCTCATTCTCACCTACAGTCTTTAATTCCTTTTACTTGAAGGAGTGTTTGCTGATCCTTGTGCCTCATGCTTTATGGGCCACAAACTGGCACTCTTTTTATTTTTTTGATTAAAAAAATAGAAATACATTTACGAAAAATTAAACAAATAACTAAACATTTTTTGTTATATCAGGTTATAGTTTGGAATATATTTTCTTTTATTTTATTATTTTTGGGGAGGGTTGGCTCAGTCTCTTTTTTTATCAGCAAATATTAGTTATTAGATGTTAGATTAGCACACATGAGAGAAAATATTAGTTGTTAGATGTTAAATTAGCACATATGGGAGAAAATCTCCCCACCCTTGGCAAAGTACCAAAGTGTTTGCACCCCCTTAATTCAACCCCCTACGGAGAATTAAACTCATGACTTCCTTGAGACTACGCCCTAAGGAAGGCATGTAGCTCAGTCTTTTTTGTTAATCTTTTTTTATTTAAGGTTAATGCCCATTGAGGTTTATGAAATAATAGGGACACCCCATATTTCTTTAAGAAGATTTGATCTGTGGACAAGTCTTTAATAATGCTAAAGGAAAATGATGCTCACAAAAAATGTAACTAAAAATATTCATTTTGAAGATTTGCATAACATCATCATCAAGACTGGCATTACAACTACACTATAGTTTAATAATTTGTACTGCATTTTTCAGCTAAGGTTGTTATGAAAACTTATCCTTTTCATTTCTTTGACCCAGGTCCTTGTATCAACTCTGAAGTGTCACCAAGTCAGAAATGGCTTCATCTTTGGTAAGCAAGTTATACTAAACGCCATCTCATGTAAAATCCTTTAATGATGTTATAGTACATGATTGGAATCCTTGGAATTGTCATATGATCAGCTCCCAAAAAAGAGAAAAAGAAAAAATCCATGGTTTTGGCCTTTGATTGCAAATTTAGCACTTTTGCTTTTCAATGAACTATTCTTCCTGTACACAAATTACCCTAGCAAGCTGCTAGATTCTTAGCATTTAACTTTTCATGGCAGTATTTTGTGTATACATGGTTTGCCTGTAGGAAATTGGATGCAATAAACAATTCCAAACTTCCGTTTCATTTGAGCTAAAAATTGTTATCGAACTGCTTCCTAGATTACAATTTTTCACTTCTTCTATTATAACAATTCATTTTTCTTTTTAATATTTTTTTTTCCGGAAAACTATGCTAACGGATGATTATGGGCTCGATTTATCTTTGACAATTTTGGTCTCATATGATGATTGATGATTGGTCTTAAATCATCATAATATTTAATAATTCTCTCTCTCTCTCTCTCTCTCAAAAAAAAAAATAAAATAAAAAATAAATAAATAAATAAAGAAAAAAAAAAGAAGAAGCTTCCTGTTAATCATAATTAATATCCCCCAACAAGATTTGTTTAAGTCAACTGTCACCTCTCGGGGTCCATTTCATCAAGTGCTGATTGGATTACCTGATTCAATCAATGGTTTAATTTTTGTTCATCAAAAAAAAAAAAAAAAAGAAAAAAAAAAAAGAAGCTTCCTGTTAATCGTAATTAATATCCCCCAACCAGATTTGTTTAAGTCAACGGTCACCTCTCGGGGTCCATTTCATCAAGTGCTGATTCGATTACCTGATTCAATCAATGGTTTAATTTTTGTTCTTCAGTGATGTATTCCCCATTATTCATACTCATGGATGCTTTTCTAAACCTCTTCTGTGATGATGCATATTGTTATTGGCCATAAAGATATCAATGTTTCCCATTAGAAAGCATTGAATCCTGTCTTCTTGTGTTTTATACGGAAACATTTGATACTCTGGCTGCAAGCATTAATAAGACGTTATCTATAATTTCAACATATGTACCCTTTTATTGATTATGATGATGTCTTCATCTGACAATATCAATGTATTTGTTAAAATGTTTTTTCCATGAGTAGAATTAGTAGGCATTTTACATATTATATGACATATAAACACCCTTTAAGCTATTCAGTTTTATGATATGACCATTCTTTTTTTCTTAAAATGGTTAATGTTCTTCCCCTTTTGTTTCTCCTTATCTCAGGTTAAGTCGAATAAATTCATGAAGAGGACAGAATCAAAAAAGTCACATTCCTGGTGGTGGGATAGCCACATCAGTCCCAAAAACTCTAAGTGGCTAGTAGAAAATCTCGAGGGTAAGCATCTGATATTACATTGTCCTGCTAATATTTTGTATGCATAACTATCCCATGCACACCTGGCAAAGAGATCAAATGCTAAAATAGCTGGGGTGAAGAGAACCAAGATATGCTATATAAAATTCGTACAAATGATTAAGACTAAATTGGGACCAACCATCAACTGAACTAGAAACCTCATGTTGTTTTCTGATTCTACAACATATTGTTATGGATGTCTTGAATTGATTACAAGTGCAACCTTAACGCTTAATGGGACCTTTTTATTTTGTCTTGTTAAATCAGTAGATTGCATACATGCTGAAACTAATTTCACGAACTATGTTTGTTAAGCAATTTTGCATCACGAGTTCTTTGCATTTTTTTAAAATTTTTTTATTTTCCTGTTCATTGAATTTTATCTAATTTTATGTTGCATGAAGGCAAACTAAGATGTTCTTGATGAGAAATGTCATTCTTTGTATGAGTAATTCAGTAGTTTAAAGATTCATTGCTGAAATATTAATCACCTGCATTGTGAAATCTGATATGAAACATTTAGACAACATAAAAAATATATATAGGCATTATAAAATTGGCAAATAGGTCTCACAATTGGATAATTATAGCTACACTTTCCTAAAATGGCTATTGATATGTGTTGATCCCATCAATTCGGGGGTGTTAGAAGGTTGTTCTGAGTGAGATCTAAATTATAGAGTTAAAATTACAAAATAATTGCTTGCTCTAATAATTTGGGAAGCCAAATGAAGAACATGAAATTGACAAAAAAGTCATTGACCTCAGATATGGACCAAAGTGTCAAACGGATGTTGAAACTGATCGAAGAGGATGGAGATTCATTTGCTAAAAAAGCTGAGATGTATTATCAGAAGAGGCCGGAATTGATAGCTCGTGTTGAAGAATTCTACCGCTTGTACCGCTCATTGGCTGAGCGTTATGATCATGTTACCGGAGAGCTAAGGAAGACTGTTCCCTCAGATCTCCAATCGCAAGGTTCAAGCATCTCTGATGTTGGTTCTGAGCCGGCCTCCACATGGTCTTTGCCTGACCAAAAGCTTACTCGGCGTAAATCTGGCCCCCGGGCTGCTGGTTTTGAATTTTTCCTTGGTTCTGGTGGAAGTAGCTCAGATTTGTGCAACAAAGAAGGAGATGACTCCTCTACATTGGATTCTGATTCAGAATCAGATGATTCCTCTGTGAACAATTACTCAGCTGCACCGGGCAATGGTGGGGAACAAGGTTTGCGTAGGAAGATTATTGAATTGGAGGTTGAGCTTCGTGATGTGAAAGAGAAGCTTCGGATGCAACAGGAAGAGAATACAGATGGTTCTTCAAGGGGAATTAGAAAAGTGCATTCTGAAGGTCTACTCATGAGGATTGCAGGATATGAGGAAGAGATGAGAGATGCAAGAGAAAAGCTCCGGTTCTCAGAAGAAGAGATTGCCAGGTTGAAGATCGAGGTCCAGACAAACAGATCCCAAGAAGTTACCAACAATTTGGAAGCTGAACTTGAATTATCAGAGAAAGATGTCAGGAGTTTGGGAGCCAATTTGGAAACGGAGCAAAAACAGGCAATGGAGATCGGTGAAAAAATTGATGGGTTGAAAGCAGAAGTTTCAGACCCCGATTGCAAGATTCAGACACTTGAGGAAGAGCTGAAAATCACAAAAGAAAAACTTAAAGGTTCGGAGAGAGAAATTGCAAATATGAGAAATGAACTTGAGAATAGCGGATCCACTATTCGACGTTTGCAAGATCAACTAGGATCAGCCCAAAAAGATGTTGCTACTTGGAAAGCCAAGCTTGATAAAGAGCAAAGAGAGGTTTCAAAGCTGCAAGATAGAATGTTGAGGTACAAAGCCAGTTTGTCAGATCGCGATCAAGAGATTAGGGGGTTGAAAGAAACGGTTTCTAACGCAAACCAGAGCTTGTCTGAGGAAAACACACAGCTTCAGGCTGAAATTACTAAATTGTCGAAGGAACTTTCTTATTTAGAGGATAATCTCAAAGAATGGGAACATCGGTGCCAATCTCTAGAGGAAGAGATCAGACGAGTCAAGGCTGGTAAAACAGAAATGGAAGGGCTACTTCAAGCTGGAATGGAGCAATTGAAGGTTACATTTAAATTGGAATATGACACTCTGATGGAAGAGAGAGACGAGCTCAATGCAAAAATTGCGACACTCATTGCTGAGGTAAGTGCTAGAGATGATCAGATTGAACATATGGATCAGCATTTGAAGCAATTGCACATGGAACAGGTTGAGTTGATCGCTGGGACTGAAGGTGCACATAGAAAGGTTGAAGAACTGAGATCAAGAGTCAGAGAACTGGAGGAGGAGGTTGAGAAGCAAAGAGAGGTGATAATAGAAGGGGCAGAAGAGAAACGAGAGGCAATTCGGCAACTGTGCTTCTCACTGGAGCATTATAGGAATGGGTATCATCGGCTTCGACAGGCTTTTGTAGGGCACAAACGATTTCCAGTGATGGCTGCCTAATGTTAGTATCTGACATTGGGCACATTCGTCTTCCTGGGAGTCTCTCAATTTTTTGGATTTCTTTTTGCCATTTTGAATTCACTTGTAATTTCCTTCTCACGAAAGTTTGGAGTTTTCGTTTTGGTTTTACTAGGCGTGGCTGCTGGCCTTATGATTACTTTTGTTTTGCTGCTATTTTAGGGCAGTAGCAGCAGTACGGCCTTGTGCAATATTTGTTTTTGTAATTTAATTTTTATATTTTGGGTGAGACTTCTTTTTTCTTTCTGATGTAGCAAAAAAATAATAAATATTGGGTCGAAGCTACGACTTTTTGCTTAGGAAACAAACGCTCCACCACTAGGCGACGGGCATCTAAGTTACCAAACAAATGAAGTTAATTTTCTTTATTTTCTTAAGTTGTGTTTGGATCATTAATTTAAAGATAAATTATAAATACATTTTTTGAGGTTTGTTTAAAGTATAAATTATTTTCTGTAACTTGAAAAATTATAAATATTTTCTTGTTAATATTATTTATTTAATAGAATTAACTAAAAAAATGAAATTCATAATTGCTCTCTTTTACAATAATAAATTTACATAAATTATTAATTGAAACATATTTTTAATATCATTAAAAATTGTTAATTAACTTGATGATTTATCAATGAAAAAAACGATTTATTATGAAATTAGAAATTTTAGGAGGGAGAATATAATTTTCAAAACTATAGGGGTGATTTATATTTTAATTAAATCTCAGGGATATATTTGTAATTTACTCTTAATTTAAATAAAGATTTGAAAAACACTCATATTTTTATTTTTTATTTTTAAATCTTTATCCCAATCTATGATCCAAACACATTTTAGGGGCTATTGGGAACTCTTAAATAAGCCACATCTTTTTTTGATTTTTTTTTCAAAATTATGTCAATTTTTATTTTTATTTTTTATATATAACTTTTTTGGTCCGTCTTGTGTAGCTAAATTTAAAAAATTGAAAAAGCCAAAATAAACAAAAAAAAAAAAATCCAATATTTTGTTGATTTTTTTTGTCATTTCTGAACATTTATTTTTTATAGAATTTTTATTATTATTATTTTTTAAATTTTCGTTTTGTTTTGTCAAGGAGAATATAGAAACTTAAAATTTTTGAAATTTTTTTATAAAAAATTCACTATATATGAAAATAAGCCAACAAAAAATTACCAAAAAAATAAACCCAAACACTCACTCATCCCATAAGTGTGCGCAGTACATTGCTCTTATGTCATACCATAGTCTTGGAGCAAGTATGTGTCAAGACTTCTTTATTCACCAAAGCTATTCTCACTTCACTACTGTTTGCTTGACAAACTGGGGTGTTTTTGACTTTTTAATTTATTTTGGGTCATATCATCTTTATATTTTTTTATATGTTTTTTTTTAAAAGAAAAATTAAAAATTAATTTTCAACTAACTTCTCAAAATAAACCATAAATGGTACGAGAATAAAAGTGCAGTTCTAAATAGAAGTTTTCGTTGATGATGTTTTCACCATTGGATATTATGGTGAGTTGTCCAATTATTTTATTTTATTTTATTTTTGGTTGATTTTGTCCATTTTTTTTTATTCCATCAATAAATAGAATGATGTTTCCTATCTCAAGGGTGAAATGACCATTCCAAGAATTTGTCAAAATACTTGAATTTTGTGGTTCCACACAAGGTGAAGATGATTAAGGTCTTTGTGACAAGCTTGCGTATAATTTCATCTTAAAGTGCAGTAAAAGAAGATCAAGAGTTCGAATTGAAGAAGTAATAGCAATTCTTTAAGTAGGATACTAACTTTATTAATAAACTTACAAATCTAACTATTTAAAATGTTGACAAAAAAAACAAAGTAAAGAGATTATAATATTGTTATTCTACCTCACCAAATATTTCCTAATGGAATAAAATTGTTTTAGTTTAAATTCCTCCTATAACTTGTGGGGTAACAAATTTTATAAAAAAAATTTACATGCACACAGTGGCGTAGCTAGGAATTCTCCTCAGTGGTCATTCAGAGGGAGAGAGAGAACAAATGAAGGAATGTATCAATGGCAATGCAACAATAGTTGTTAGAGAATAAAACGTTGATAGAGCAAATGAATGAACGAACGAATACTGAGCTAAAATTGATACCACTAAATAATGAATAGCTCTAAATATATGTGATATATGTGATATTTATCTAGATTCACTGGGATCATTTTGTTATTGACACTACTAAACAATAAATACCTCCAAATACTAGGGTCATTTTGTTAAAATCTAAAACTATTAAACAAAATTTCATATATATTTAAAAAAAAATTGAAGTTGACACCACTGAATTGCACATAGGCCCGTCCCTGCTTGCACATGTGACAAGTAATAATAAAATTTTGTATTTAAAATAGGAATAACTAATATAATATTTGTGAGTTAAATTTTTTTTTTGCAAAATTTATTAATTTGTGTACTAGTATTTAGATGTCAAGTCGGCTCACAAATAGCAGTAATTTCACCAATTTTAGTGATTTGCTTGGTGAGAGGAAATGGTCATCACTTTGATTGGTCGTTTCAATACGACTTCTTACAACAATGGTTGAAATTAAAATAAGAAATAAATAAAGAAAAGGTCTCAATAAGAAAATGAAGGGAAGTACAAATTTAATATCAAACTAATTGGATCCACAATTCGATCAGTTATAATTAGGGATGTAAAAAAAAAAATAAAAAAAATTGATCAAATTAATTGAATAGGATCAAATTGACTATATTTAATTTGTTTTTTTTAACAAGAATTGGCCTGTGAAATTTTTAAATTTGATTTTTTTTTCAATTTTCAGTTCAGTATTAGTTCAAGTACCTTGTGTACCGACTAAATCGAAACCGATTATTTCAACATATATTATATTTATAATATATATATATATATAATTTAATAATATAATGATATTAATAAGTAAAATAAATTATTAACCTTAATTAATTAACCTTATCATTTTTATAACCTAAGTTTGTAAACTCTTAAATTGTATTTGGTTAGAAGATTTGGAAAGAGATTTAGAAAGAGAATGAGAAAGAGAAAAAGTGTGTGAAACTAAGTGAAATGTAAGCATAGAAAGAGAATGAGAAAGAGAAAAAGTGTGTGAAACTAAGTGAAATGTAAGCATATTTTATTCATATTTTACCTATCTTTTTATTTTCTTTTTCTAAATCCCTTTCCAAATTCTCCTACCAAATACAACATTATTATATATGACCTTAATTCTAACTCATTATTCTTAAAACCTTAGTATTTTTAACTTTTTTTTTATTTTTATTTTCGTTAATCTAAGAATTAAAAAGTATTTATTAAATGAATGGATTGGATATATTTGAAATGGTGGATATGGTGGACCAATAACTAATTTAATATTTTTATATATATTAATAATTATATTTAAAAGTGCCTAAAGTTTAAAAAGTCTTAAACCGATAAAATCGCACCAAATCAAACCGTATCAATCAGTTCAGTTCGTTGCGATTTGATGGGAGAAGCGATTTGTATCGGTATTCAAAATAATAAAACTGATATTATCAATTCGGTAATTTTTTTTTATCTAAATACCAACCATACCGAATTGATTACATCCTTAGTTATGATTATCGTTTTCTTAGGCTATGATTGAATTTTGACAAAGAAAAAACTACTAATTGATAACAGAAAGTGAGTTACGATTTTTTTATAAATTTCTTTTCTGTTCTTTTCTTTTCTTTTTAATTTTTCTCTCCGCAAATTGTTTCACAAATTCGAAATCTATATACAATCTTTCCATTCCCAATAGTCATTCTGCACATGATCACATTTTATAACATTTGTGGAGTCCATTAACTTCCTATCTAGAGGTAATTTTTACCTGATACATTTGGGATCCATTGACTTTGTCTAATGATTAAAAAAAAAAAAGAATTATGGGTATATCTTTTGTACCTACTGATAAAAATGAAGAGTTAGTTAATAAAAATTGACAGTAAAAATCACATAATATTACCGTACATCTAAATTAACTTCCAATCCAATTGATCAAGAAGTCAGTCAACTTCGGCATATTGCAAACTTTTCATTGCCCCAACTTTGGTTTGGATGATTTTATCTGTTTTTGAGTGTCCAAGAATAAATCTGTATTAGTAGGCAGGTCTCCCTCAAATTAACCCCAACACGGGCTGGGCCACCCAGTGAACCCAGAAAAATTATTTGGTATTTCTGGCACAAGTTGAGGTGGTGTTCTGACTTGATTTCTATTGGTTAAAATAGTAGAATTCATCACTTGTATTTTTTTTTTTTTTTAAAGAGATAACTAAACAAGTGTCCCTGAATAAATGATAATGCATTAAATAACTATTCAACATCTACCTGACACCCTCTTTTTGAGTTCCGATAACACTGACACGATATGCATGGTAGAAGTGAAAAATGGAAAATATGATTTTACTTTTATGATTTAAATTATTTATTTTATAGAGTTTGTTGAGTATTTTATGTTTATTAAAAATTATATTAATCGGATATCAACAACTATATGATCGATAATCAAAAAAATAAATAATAAGTTTTTCTTTTGAGAAATAACATAAACAATATGTAATTCGATCATATAGTTATTGATATCCGATTAATATGATTTTTGATAGGCATGAAGTACTCAACAAACCCTACCAAATTGAACGATTTAAATCATAAAAATAAGACTATAATACATCTTGAACGAAGACATCACAGTCACTGCTTTACTTTAAGCACAACAGAAACCCTTGTTCCGTGAAAAATTATTTGGTGATCTTAAAATAAGGTCACGTGGCATTCCAACTTTATTTTTATTTTTTATTTCTTAAATTTTATTATCGTAATGGGTTCAATACGATTTTTTTAAATTTATTTATTAATTTGGACTTTGCAAAATTAGTATTGAAGTCACAAATAATATTAAAACAAAAAGAAGGCATATATGCAAGGTAAAATAAGACTTGAAAATAAGCTCAGTAGAATCATACATACATGAATTGGGATTCACTGATCCAACAAGGTCCAATTATTATAATCGAAATATCATATCAACACTGAATTAATTTTGTTCAAATGAACAGTAAACAGAGATTTTAACATGAAAGGCCCTACATTAATTCTACAATCCAACAAGTTTATTTGACATTTTTTTTTGTTTTTTTAAAGGACGAAACACACATAACATTAAATATTAAAACCAATTACATTAGTTGTCAACTCATGGACCGATTAATTACATTCCTCCTTACCTTAAAAAATTAAAATTTTGTTAAAATATATTATATACTATAACAAAACTAACTATTTACGACTTCAACTTTACGGCATACATTAAATGCATGTCATAAGTAGTGCATTCTATGACATTTTTTTTTGCAAGCCGTTAATAGTTTTTCAATAGCGACATACATGCTATATAAATCGTTATTTCATATATTTATGACACTCAAAAGTATGCCGTAAAAAATGTATATTTTAACGGCATCTAAAAATATGTCGTAAAATATTTGCACTTAAGACGACATGCATTTTATGGCGTAAAATATTATGACTTTACATGGCATGCATTAGGATGCCGTGAAAACTTCTATTAAAAATAATTTCAGTCTGATTATTTGTTTTTAATTTTAAAAAGCTAACAATTTTCAATCAAGCTTCTCACATTAAATTTTTCTAATTGAGGGCGACGTAAAAAATAATTTATACATTATTTATAGTGTATTCTTTTAAGGGATAATTGCACCCAGTGAGATTTCAGGAAAAAAAATTACTTCTTCACGAAAAAGTTTATAATTTTAATTATTAATATTTATATTTTTTCTCATTGATTTGTAATTAATTTTTTAAAAAAATTATCTTGATTTGATATTTTCCCTTCTTTTAATAATTTAATTTTCTGTTTTTAACTTTTTAGATGTGCCTAATCTGAATAAAAAGTAAAATATTTGTAAAAAAAAAAATACAATAAAATATAATATATATGAAAATATATTAAATTTTATATTTCTTTGAATTTAGTGATTTCTTTAGAAAAATAAAAATATTTAGTGATTCAACCTCTCTACAATCTCCTCTCTGATTCAACGTCGACCTAAAAGCTGAAGAAGAAGAAGAAGAAGAAGAAGAGGATGAGGTTAAGAATGGAGACACAGTCGAAGAGGTCAAGATTGAGGTCTCTGTATTGTATACCCACTCTATTTAGGCACATTGAGAGTTAGTTAGGTCTCCTCTCTTACATACAACAAACACAACAAATCAACTATTTAGACAGTGCTCCATCTCCGTCGCCGTTGGCGATTGGGTCTCTCTTGCTTTAGATTCAGGTTCGTTCTTTCTCTCTGTGATCCTTGCTCTCTCTCTCACTCTCTCTCTCCCATCGAAGACACTTGCGAAGTCTCGACTTTCGTGTTCTAAATGTAATTTCTATATCTATGCTCTCTTCTTCATCGATTGAAATTTTGGAAATCGAAACCCTAGTTACGAGTTTTTCTATGATTAGAGCTTAAATCATGTATACTTGACGTGAGAATTGTTTTTCTTGTTCTTGCTCATCATGAATTTTGTTTTTCTCTAATTTGATCCCAATTTATGGTGATTTTCTCATATTTGCTCGTTACCTCTTGCACAAGCAAGAAATAATCTTCTCGTATAATCCTGTTGATCAAGTATGCGCTCCTCCAAACGTCGTCGCTTTACTCCCTGAAAACACAAACGTGAGTTAGCCGGCGGATGTGTGCCGAATACCTCTCCGATGCTTAAGTCAGCAAAATAGACAAATAGACAAAAGTTCTGTGTATTCAAGAATCAAAGTTGTGTTACCTCTTCCAAAGGTTATGTTGTGAGCTCTTATAGGTTCCGCATGGCACAATCCTTGTAGGACTCTCGTTCCTCCATGTAGAGTCCTACTAGGAGTCACACTCTTGAAAGATAATACTTGTCCTTCAAAACCCCCTCACTGCTTAAACCGAGTGAGATGGTTTTACCTCGGTGGTATGACAAAACGACTAAGATACCACGGCCATGCTAAACTGGCAGAATTATCCGAGCTACAAATAACTCGGCTCTTCCTTTACTGCTTTTACCTCGGTTTCTTCCATAGAGACCGTGCTATCCTATGGAAAGCTTGGACCGAGCTAATCAATGAGCAAGGTCCTCAGGAAAGCCAAAAATATCTTGGCTCAGCATGGTATGACCGAGCTAACTGTTGCCCCTCTGACCGTGGTGACCGAGCTAATAGCAAAGCTCTTTTGGACTGGGCTAACTACAAGGCTTTTCCTACTGTGGCCCACAGAACGGCCCATTACCCAGCTCGGTCCAATTTACATATAAGTTACCCTCTCATCTCTAATCAGAACATTCCTAAGATTCGCAAGGTCACAATCTTAACCACAAAGCAATAAGCAATGCAGGTTCTCATCAAACTACATAAGATCATACTCCCTTTATCTAGACTTTGAAATTGCAAGTTTCCTTAGGCACCTTGAAAGGTTTAATCAATGGTTGGATGACTTGGTTGCAGATGGAATTGGGACCAATGAGAGAATAAAGACCTTATAGAAGAAGTTATATGGATTTCTATTGGAGCATGTTTAGTCCATCTTTGTTGTTAGTAATCATGGCTGTGTTTATCTTTGAATTTTGATATACAAATTACCTCTTTCTGGCAGCGTTTTCACAGTACTTATTATTTATTTCGTTTGCATCTCAGTTTATATTTCATATTGTATATCATGTCCATGAGTTAGGAGTTGGGGATTTTTCATTGGAAATTATGAGTATGCAACATTATTTTGTTAGAGATATTATGTAATGCATATTATGTGTGAATAGTGAATATGAATCTGCCTTCTACATATGTTTAGTGTTTGTAAAACTCAAATAAAGTGAAACCATGAAAGGTATGGGTGAAATTAGTTACAGTGATTTGGTTTTTAATTCAAAATTTGAAAGAAATGATTTATTGAGGAGTCCATTCCAAGCTTATGATAAATTAGTTTCTTACTTCAACAAATGGCATGCCCTAGTGAGATGCACTAACTCCTCTTTTTCTTGGCTACACTGGTGATCCTTGGTGAGGAGTTAGTGCATCTCACTAGGGCATGCCATTCGTTGTTCTCCCTCAGATTTTTTTTTCTTATGAGGCATTTTTTGTGTTTCCTAGCTTCTTGGTTGGTGAAGGTGCATGTATGTGGGCAAAATCCAAGGGTATTCCTTTGCTGGCAAGTATATCGGAGGTTGATGAAGTAAAATCTCCTAGTTTTTTGTTGTATCTGTCTAAATATGTGGGCAAAATCCAAGGGTATTCCTTTTTTGTTGTATATGTGGGCAAAATCCAATATTTCTTCTTGAATATGTTGGTTTTAAGTTTCCTTAGTAATTTGTTCCTTATTCTGGAATTAGTTATCATACTTGTTGTGCATCGTTTGGAAACAGTGGCTAGTTATAGAGAAGGCAAAAAGACAGTGGGAAAAATACAAATCAATGTTGGATGATGCAAAAGCCATGAAAGAAAAAATTGATGAAGAACTTTCTTCTGGCACGCAAGAGAATGCTGCTGTATCAGGTACTCCATGCCATTTACATATATCATCCCTTCTACTCTAAAATTGTTAGACGTAAGCGATCATTGTTTACAAGTTCTAGAGAAGTAATTGTGTGTTATAGTCTTTTATATATCACAATGTGGATTGTTCAAACAAAGTAAATAGGTTGAAACTAATAAAATTAAATGTTTAGCTTATAGGTAAAAATTTATGGATATTGAACACCCTTTTTTTTTTTTTTGAAAGTGAGATAGAAGAAAAAAAAAATGAATGGAGAATACAAAATGGTAATTATAGGGAATGCTTGGTTATATTTCAGAGTATTGATTGGATCACATCAGACTCTATTACTTCATTGTTCTATGGATATCTATAAGGAAAAAAACAACAGTCTTCATGTAAAAGAAGAAATGCAAGAAAACAAAAAAGGAATTCAATTTATTCTATGTAGCTTGACGTTGGTGTTTTGCTAGACATTAGCATTAGTATGATCCATAGTGCCTATGACCCAGATAACCCAGCAATTGAACAGCAAAGGGTATGCATGGTTTTAAAATTTCTCTGACACAGTCAAGGGGCATTTTTAACTAATCATTTTTTTAAACAAAAAAATTATATAGGTTGCTACTGTTCAAGGTCTTTCAGGAACTGGTTCTCTTCGACTTGCTGTTGCACTCTGTACGGGGAGGAAATAATTCTCCTCGTATAATCCTGTTGACCAAGTCCACGCTCCTCCGTACGACGTCGTTTTGTCACCTAAAAACACAAACGTGAGCTAGCCGGCGGGTGTGTGCCGAAAACCTCTCCGATGCCTAAGTCAGAAAACTTGACAAATAGACAAAGCTCTATGTTCTCAGCAAGGTTGTGTTCAATTACCTCCTCCAAGGTGATGCTTGTGGGTTTTTATAAGTTTTCCGTGGCACAATCCTAGTAGGACTTGTATTTCTCCATGCAGAGTCCTCCTAGGATTCATTCTCCTAAGGATAATGCTTATCCTTTTACACCCTCCCCCACTGCTTAAACCAAGTGGGATGGTTTTCTTTATGGCCGAACTCCCATTCGACCGAAGTAAGAATGGCTATGCCGAGCCATAAAGTAGGCCATACTAACAGTAGTTCGGTTCTTCTTCATGTTATACCATACCTCGGTTCTCATACACGAACCGTGGTGTGTTTGGACCGATCCACTGAGTAACAACATTACAACCGACCTATCCCGAATTCAATCATGACCGGACTACCTTATAAGACCGGACTAACTCAAGTTGTCAAAACCGAAGCAGCTTTACATTCCTTTAGCCGAAGTAGGTCAATCGTCTCCGCAGAGCCAGAGTAAATCTATCGTTCTTGAGTCGGAGTCACTTTCAACAGCTCGGGTCGGAGTGACTTTTATCTCTTTTAGGCCGCAGTAACATTTCGGCCTTTTACCCAGTCCTTGGCATTTTGGGCCACCAAGTCCATCTCACAGCTCGGCCCAATTTTTACCAAAAATTACCCTCTCAATTGCCCCTTAATTCCATCTGCATGGCATGATTGGGATTATCAGCCTATCAACCGAGCTGGCGTCGTTTTAAGCTTTTCCAGCCGAGCTAAGAATACCTTAGCCTCTCCAGCCGAGCTAAAAAACTCTCGAATTTTTAAGCCGAGCTAATTTCACTCCGGGCTCCGTTCTGCCCGGTCAAAAACGTCTCTTCAATCATAGTGTCTGTAACGCTTCCCATTCCAGTGACACGTGGCAAGCTCTGATTGGCTGGGAGCAGCTGTCACGCCGCCCTCGTAGTACGAAATTTTTGAACAGTTCCCGCCCTTTCTCTCTCCTTCCACAAAACGATCATTCTACCTTTGAACCATTCACCTTCTTCTCTCTCTGTGCCTCTGCTTCTCCAGCCTCTGAGCTTCCTGAGTCTGTGTTCTTCGTTAGTTCCGTTGCACCTGCCCTCTGCTTCATCTTTTCCTGGTAAGCGATCCTTTTTCCTTTCCTTTGTTTTGTTTTCATATTCTGTTTTCCATGCTCTGCTTGCTTTTGTAAAACATTTTTCTTCCAGCTCTATTTTACTTTAGTACTTTCATGGAAAAAAATCAGTAAAGCCTATGACTATATGTCATATACCCTAGAGAAAACTCGATTTTGATCCAGAATCACGTCCTAACCGAACTAGGATACTGTTTGTGTTATGTACGTAGATAGATTCAGAAAATAACCGAACTAGAACTTGTAGGAATATCAGTAGTTTCTTCTGAACCACTCTAGCCAAGATAAGATCACCGAACAAACGTGCACATACCGAACTAGGTACTTCGGTCCATAACCAAGCCAAGCTTTTGGGGCCAAGCCGGCTTTCTTAGTTCTTAAACCGAACTCAGAAAGCCGCCCCTAGGGGGCTCAACCGAAGTAACTTTCCTCACACTGCAACCGACTTAGGCCTTGGGACTAAACCAGCTTTCTTAGTTTTTTTTTTAGACCGAACTCAGAAAGCTGCCCCTAGACGTTAAACCGGTCTATCGAGCAACCTGCTCAAACCGAGCTACCAGACCTTCTGATGAAAGAACTAGTTCTTTGAAGCCGAAGTAGGGCTTTTATACCTTGCTTGTAAATTGTAGCACGGTCCACTGATCAGTGCTTTAACCCCCTGTTTTTTACTTTGCAGACTTAGGCTACCCAGGCACTCCTGTGTGCGCTCAACCGAGCTTCTGGGCACGATTACCGCACCGAAATAACTTATTCGTTAAATTATACAACAAATGGGACGTCCCTGATCATTTGATCATTACCTGAAAAAGGGATGAACACTCCGGTCGGAAATGCCGGAATTAATTGTACGGGGAGGAAATAATTCTCCTCGTATAATCCTGTTGACCAAGTCCACGCTCCTCCGTACGACGTCGCTTTGTCACCTGAAAACACAAACGTGAGCTAGCCGGCGGGTGTGTGCCGGAAACCTCTCCGATGCCTAAGTCAGTAAGCTTGACAAATAGACAAAGATTTATGTTCTCAAAAAGTATTGTGTTCAATTACCTCCTCCAAGGTGATGCTTGTGAGCTTTTATAAGTTTCCCGTGGCACAATCCTAGTAGGACTTGTATTTCTCCATGCAGAGTCCTCCTAGGATTCATTCTCCTAAGGATAATGCTTATCCTTTTACACCCTCCCCCACTGCTTAAACCAAGTGGGATGGTTTTCTTTATGGCCGAACTCCCATTCGACCGAAGTAAGAATGGCTATGCCGAGCCATAAAGTAGGCCATACTAACAGTAGTTCGGTTCTTCTTCATGTTATACCATACCTCGGTTCTCATACACGAACCGTGGTGTGTTTGGACCGATCCACTGAGTAACAACATTACAACCGACCTATCCCGAATTCAATCATGACCAGACTACCTTATAAGACCGGACTAACTCAAGTTGTCAAAACCGAAGCAGCTTTACATTCCTTTAGCCGAAGTAGGTCAATCGTCTCCGCAGAGCCAGAGTAAATCTATCGTTCTTGAGTCGGAGTCACTTTCAACAGCTCGGGTCGGAGTGACTTTTATCTCTTTTAGGCCGCAGTAACATTTCGGCCTTTTACCCAGTCCTTGGCATTTTGGGCCACCAAGTCCATCTCACAGCTCGGCCCAATTTTTACCAAAAATTACCCTCTCACACTCATTAAAAGATATCTCCCTGGGGCAAAAGTTGTAATATCATCCCCAACTTGGGGTGAGTATTGTCAGTCTAATTGGTAAAATTTGTCTAAAGGTCTGATAATTTAAAGTAAAGATCAATTTCCCAAGTAACCATAAGAATATTTTCAACGATGCTAGAGTTCCTTGGTCTGAATACCGCTACCATGATCCAAAAACAGTTGGTTTGGATTTTGATGGGATGATATATGATATAAAGGTATTTTTGACACCATAATTTATTTCTTTCAACTGTTAACGAAAAACTGCATTCCTTTCTTTCTGTTAGGGCTGGCTGCTGTTACTACTTGCTGCTGCATGTTGTTGTTATGAATCAAAGCTATGGTTTTTGGGGCTTGCGCTTGCTCTGCCTTTTCATAAAAATATGGCATATGCTAGTTTAACATTTCCTCACCAAAATATGGCATATGCTAGTTTAACTAGTCATAGGATTTGCTTTCACTTTGAATCAGGGCAGAGGTTTTGCTAGTTACAATTGCTGTCATGACTTAATGTTGATGTATTATTTTCAGTGGATTATGTGGTTCAATGATAGAAGTGATGAGCATAGTATTTCAAGTTTTTTCACAACTAAATTAACAGTTGAGTTGTTTCAATTATGCCTCATCCAAATAGCTGTAATATCATATTCTAACTTTTGGCTACCCAAAATTGGGTCTAACCAACCTTCCAACTAATGGAGGATATAACTGATGTCATATCCTATGACTAGTTAGCAAGAGAAAAATAAAATTTGGCACACCCACACTCCATCTAGTGGTCAGAAATGGTTGGCCCTATAGCTTATCCCACTATTTACCTCATCCTATCTTAAACATTGAATAATATATATTCCTATCAGAGAAATTTAATCTTGGAATTATCATATATTATTTTAAGGATTAGTTATCCATGTCACGCCCTCAAAATAATACATAAAATCCATCATTTTAGACATGCAATGATGTACGAGAAATAAATATCTTTTTATTAATCAGAGTAGCTCTTACAGAAATATTACATGCTACTAACATACAAATACCCTACGGACTTACAGCTTTCCAAGTTAACACTTGGTTACAAAAAGAGAAGAGTACTAACTCAATACATCTTAAGCCCTTGGCTTGAATTTACATATAATACATCAAAGAAAGCAAAATAACAAAAGCAGTCTGTCTGCCTCTAGCCTCCCAAACTACGCCCTTGGAAGTGGCATGCTTTCTGTACCTGAAAATGATGTCCCATATAGGGTGAGCCACAGCCCAGTAGAAATACACTAAACCAACTATAAACAATGACTAAGATAATAGCGTTCAATGGGTGGTCCACACTTATATTCCAATTATACCGTGTTACAGTTTCACGACAATCATGTCCATGTTACATTCACTTTCCATTTCTTATCCAATTCTCAACTCATAACTATGACTCAGAACCTGGCCAAATAACCTATATGAGACAGACGCTCATATTAAGCATTTACATTTCACAATAGATAAGCATACTAGCTATGTCAATACATCAACAGATAACCATACAAGCTATATCAATACATCAACAAATAAGCATATTAGTTGTATCTGCACTTCAATAGATAAGCATATGAGCTGTATCTACATAACACAATTTCCGGTTTAGAGGTCCAGCTCCTTTCTTCCAATAAACCTTCCGGTTTAGAGGTACAACCACTTTCTTCCAATAAACCGTGGAGTACAGCCCCTTTCTCCTCCCACACAAATAATGTATATAAACAGTTATCATATACAATCAATCAATACATAAAGTTAATGTATTATTCCAGTCGCTAGATTCAATAGTACACCTAATCAATTAGTTTAAGTTTGCCTGATCGTCATGCATTGTCAACAACAATCAAGACTATCCTTCACCGATAGCCCAAGCAGTTATTTCTAAATAGAAAATAAATGCGCCAAATGGGTACAATATTGACATTTCAATTTGGTGAGTGATAAATAATCCAACTATACCCTTTAATCCCATACATTCCCAATTCCAACATTTTCAATTCCATTTCTCATTTCTCACATTTATTTCACAAATTAATTTAACAATGCAATTAGGGCATTTCCCATAATTAACAAAACAACCCTAAGGTTTCATTTCTATCAACAATCCGACATTCATCTCATTTCTCTATGCCAAACATGCATATATGTAATAATAAATAAAACCCCAACTTTTGTAAAATTACACAAAGACCCAAACTTTCTCAAAATTACCCAACGACCCCCAACATATCAAAATGCTAAGATTCAAAGACAAAACTCATAAGGAGGAGTAAGATATCCCCACCTCAAATTCGGAGCTCAAAGGGAGAAGATGACGAAACCCAAAGTGCTCCAAAACTCAATATGCTCAGATCAAAACGTAGCCCTCGATGATCAACACAACTTTTGTAAAGGCCAAAGGTGAGAAAATTGCTCTTACTAGATTAATACTTAGAGAGAAGTTGAGTTTTAGTGAGAGAAGCTCTCAAATGGCTTTTTCGAAAAAGTAAGAGAGAGAAAGGATGTTGAAAATGTGATTCAAAAATGCACAACTGCCAACTGATATACGCATGATCCGCTCGAGCGGAGAATAGAACGCTCGAGCGTCAAGCACAAAAACTGGACCCGCTCAAGCGCAAGAAGGCCCGCTCGAGCGTCAAGACACAAGAACAAAGTACATCCGCTCGAGCGCGAAAATCAGTTCGCTCGAGCGTAGATTACTCTCTCTCAGAACTTTCGCAGACAATGAACACCCCGCTCGAGCGCCAACAAACTCGCTCGAGCGTGACCCGCTCGAGCGTGAAAAACACATCTGCAGAAGTTTTGCAGAGGCACAGATACTGGAAGTGTGAAAACTCCGCTCGAGCTCAAGAATACTCGCTCGAGCGTACCACTAAAGAAACGAACTCCGCTCGAGCGCAGAATCATCCGCTCGAGCGTAACACCAAAAACCTGGGCAACAACACTAGAGACCAAAACTCATCCTACCAGTTCGAAACACGCCCAACACATCTTAAAACTCAAACATACGGAATCTAAAGGATGACAACAAGACATATAACCACCAACTCCACGGAACCTACGATCGGAACACTGTACATAAAGGGGACAAACCCGGGATCGCTATAATCCATCTATTCTTATTCAGATTAAATAAACACTATAAAGAAGATAAATACAACAAAGAAAATGCCAATAGCAGCCCTTTGGCTTGTAAATAACAACAAAAAATGTATAAATAATATGTAAAAATTATATTGAAATTCTAACTTTGTTGGCCTTTTCTTCTTCTAAAAGCATGACCCTACGTAGACATTGATTTTTCTGTGCAAATTTTCCCATGCTTTTAGCATTATTGAGAGAATAAACTATGGCACTTCTTTATCAGTCTCAGCTTTGAAATTGATTTCAGGTCGGAATGGTTACAAAGATAATTAAGATTACAAGGAAATGATACTAACTGATTCTTTGTCACCATTTCATGAACAACTATCCTTTCTCTTCACCTCTAATGATATGTCATACATTTTTGCACCTAAATCTTTTCCTTCTAGTTTTGAAAGCTCTCTATTTTTTTTCCAAGTAGTTCAAGTAGCTCCAACTCCATAAAAGTTTATAAATGGTGGAGATATGGTGGTCTCAAAATGGCTTGTTGTTGTGTTATCTGTAGCAAGTGAAGATAGTGATGATAATGATAATTCAGTGACTAAGACTTGAGATGTTGACACCATGGTGCCTGATAAACAAGAAAGCTGATTGTTACAGCTAAGTGATGAGTGTTGCATTGCCAACAGCTGTAAAGGATGGTGATCATAATCATCTCTTGGGCACTATTGGATCCTAAAACTTGGATAGTGCTTTCATAGTGTAGATCATGTGATTTAAAACTCTAGATAAATGCATAATCAGATAGCAAAAATTTGCCATCTTTCATAGTGTACATCATGTTGATAAATGAATCTTATGATTTGAATACTTTTTTTTTTTATTTGTATGTTTGAGGTTGTTATCAGCTTGATATGATAGAAGTTGATGATGAAAATTAGTATGCAGGTTGTTTGGTGTATGGATATTAGAATTTTTTGCTTACTTCATAGTTGCTACGTCTGCTTGGTTTGTTAACAGGTTGCATTTTATAAGCTACTGTCTACATAGTGTTAGGCTAGGTTATATTCCTGTATATATATTATATATTAAAAATAACCTTATACGGCATGTAAAATTATGTCATGAAAAGTGTAATGATTTATGACATGCAAGAAAATGCCGCAAAAGATTATATACGACATACAAAGTATGCCATAAATATATTAAAAATGACATTCTACGGCATGTAAAATTATGTCGTGAAAAGTGTGATGATTTATGACATGTAAGAAAATGCTGTAAAATATCATAGGCAGCATACAAAGTATGTCATAAATATATTAAAAATAACCTTCTACGACATGCAAAATTATGCCATGGAAAGTATGATGATTTATGGCATCACAAAAATGTCGTAAAAAATTATATACGACATATAAAGTATGTCATTAATGTTTAATTTATTACTTTTTGCAACTTTACCTGTATGTCGTAAATGATGCTCAACTTTTTAGGGCATGTCATATAACGGCATTTGTGTGCATGCCGTGAAAGAGTTTTTACGGCATGCATTGCAAGCCATAAAAATTCAATTTTGTTATAGTGATATCACTTAATAATGGACGCAACCTGCCAATCCAATCCAGTCCCCTTTTGCTGAAGTAACTTTACTAGTACTTGACAATCTGTCTTTATAGTAACACTTTGTAACCGTTACCCCGCTATCCACCGAATAGCTTCCAAGCATGCTTTTGTTGAAAAATAATAATTTTTTAGCAATTTTAATTCAAAATTAAAGTGGGATTCAACCGCCGGTTGAGGTGGGTCTGAGTGGTTTTGTATTTTCTCAAGTGAGAATATTACAATATAAAAATAATGAGCCGAAACCGTTGAGTTGTAAATGAGAATCGTCTCATAAAGTGTGCATTAATAAAGTTGGACTTAGATTTAGATTTAGTCTTCGTTTAGACTGGGCCTAGACTTGTGCTTGTGCTTGTGCTTGTGCGTGTATTGGGTTTGGTCTTGAACTTAGACTTGGACTTAATCTTAAACTTGGACTAAGCTATGTTGTGTTGGGCTTAGTTTGTGTGTGTGTTTGAGAATTGGATTTGGATTGGGTTGTGACCCAACATTAATATCCATTTTGTGATCTATCTA